TAGCAGTCAGGGTCACTAACCACTAGACCAACAGGCCTGACTAAAATTAAAACATTACCTCGTTTCTTAAAGGGTTTAGGAGAGAGATAAGGGTCGCGAGCTGTTGCGTTCTTGCAGACTTCATATTTTCTCGAAATATTTTAATATCTTGTATGACTGCTGAGGACTGACGATGAGGAACAAGCTCGCTATTAAACAACAAACAAAATGTCTCTAGTACACTACCACAAGACTATTACTAGTTGGTAGTACTCCTCTAAAGCCTAGGAGTCCGCCTGGTTAGTTTATCCTATACTTATTTTACCGCACTCTCAGGATCTATTCCGGCCTGGTCTAAAGCGAACCAGTGTTACATACTGTGAGGTATTCTATCTTAGATCTCAGAGGTGACAACGCATCTGTAGTCTACTTTAATTGAAGTTGACAGCAGCTGTTCATGGACTACGATAGCCACATACTGTCAGGTGGACTGTAAATACGTTTGTTATAAAAAAAAGACCAAACCGTACCTGTCCACACATAGTCAACCACATTATTCATTTTCACTTTTTTTATTAGGTTACCGCATTTTAAGAATTGATGATACAACAGATTTTTAGATTCGATTAATTAAAAATGTTATTACAAAAAATGTTTACTTTTTGAATACAAAAAAACTACTTTTTCGATAAGGATTCTAATATTCTAAAGAATAATGTACTGTTTACTTATTTGCATAACATTAAAAATTCATAACCATAATAAAAAAACTAAAACTAAAACTTAAATTATCATACAGTCCTACTACCGCGGTATAGTGCCAAGAATGTGGCCTGCGTTTCGCTGATTAACTACCTTCGAGCGATATAAAACCAGCTGTCTTATCACCACCGGCGACGACAAGTCACACATACAGCTCCATTAAAAACTTCACCGCACGTGCACCCCGCAGACCGATAGTCTTAACAGCAAATGGCTGATATATAGTCAATCATCTTTCATAGACTCAAACTTGCACCACTTACTCCGTTCTGCTCTTTCAATCAAGCTTTACCTCTCTTTCAACCAAGGTCATACCGTCAGATCACCTACCATCATCTCTAAATATTCCCCAAGGCACTTAAACCAAGGAAACATTTATTGAGACAAGAGCCCTTCATATACGGGACAGGACAACCAACCAGCACAGCTTTTACATGTGAAAGTCTGTGAAGGGCACAAGGACAATGGTGAAGTTAATAAATCGCAGCTCCTAATCTGATTCCGATAACTATGCGCGAACTTTTAATAAGCAAGCTTTCAAGCAATGTGCCGAGATCACTTGATGCGAAAGCGCGTTATCAGTGAATAATAATGTAATGATTCATCTAAAGTAAAACCTAATCCATAGCTGGCTATAATCACATTTGAGAATGCGCTTAGTAACATAAGTTCCTTAAAAATTTTGCCCATACTCACCGTGCTAGACAGGCAATTTTATACGTGGTACAGTTAAGTGCAACGTATCATTTCCTCTATTTTTTACATGGTAGAGTCACGCTGCAGCTATATTACGGTTGTAGCACGGATGGGTCGGCTCGACCGGGGAAGGACCACGCACTCACACAATATCAGCGTAAAACAGCAGCTTACTACTGCTGTGTTTCGTATGGTGAGTGTAGAGATCCGGAGACCCTCTTTTACTGGAAACGAGGCATTCCATCTAAGTCCCCAGGGGTGACAACGCATCTGCGTTTTGATTCTTAATCGAGAGTAAATGTAGATGTCTATCACATCATCCACTTACCATCAGGTCGACTGTGTGTTCCTATTATTTGAGTGTTTACTGTGATATTACATACAGCATAATGCTGCTGTGTTGCGTAATATGAACGAACAGAACCGGAGACATATTTAGTGGTCACAAGGGATTCCATTTTGTCCCCAGGGTAATAAAAATATAGCACATATCTGAAGCGAGCCGTGGTAGCTCAGATGGTTAATGTACAGTACAGTAGTAGTTACACTCACCATACGATACATAGCAGCATTAAGCTACTATTTTACGCTGGTATTCTGTGAGAGCGTGGTCCTTCCCCGGTCGAGCGGACCCACTCGTGCTACAACTATACTACTAATATAACTGCAGCATGGCTCTGCCACGTAATTAAAAGTTAATAATAATTAAATTAATGTTAATAATAATTAAATTAATGTTAATAGTAATTAAATTAATGTTAATAATAATTAAAAGATGACTAATGTCCCCCAGATTGAATTTCGGACTCGACGGACAATCTTAATAAAGACTAACCATCTACAGGCAAAAAAAAAATATAAATTAATAAAAAAATATTGATATAATTTATTTTGTCTAAAATCTATCAAATATAATAAAATTTATATTTATCTTATCTTAAGAATGTCCACTACCCCATATCATCCCGTGGGTGTCGTAAGAGGCGACAGAGGGAGACAAATATAGAGACGGCAGCAGCGTCTTCCTTCCTTCTTTAATAACGACTATAAATAAATAAATAAACTGCTGTGGTCAGCCCGCTTGCCAAGCGTGACTACTATTACGAATATGTAGGGGTGAATTGGTGAATGGGTGAAAAGGTCGTGGGTTCCGCCATTCGACTACTGGCGTGAACCACTCGTTACACAAGCATTTTAAACTACTAAAAAGTGAAAATGAATAATGTGGTTGACAACTAAAAAGTGAAAATGAATAATGTGGTTGACTATGTGTGGACAGGTACGGTTTGGTCTTTTTTTTATAACAAGCTAATTTACAGTCCACCTACCCATGAGTGGTTAAAGGGAATATTAGTAATTTTATAGCATTGTTAATATTCTTTTTTTTTTTAAGAAAAAAAAGAAAAGAAAATTCTATGAGGCAATCTGTGGGAAAGTTGTAGACTTTATTAGTCTGTAACGGAAACAGTAAAATTTATATTGCTACATCCATTATAATCTCTTTTACTTTACATTAATATGTCCTGCTATCTCCAAGCATTGTTGTGTCTGTGTGTGATCTTGTGATGTGAAATGATACAAGGAATCAAGTATGGACCCTGATTGATCACTTGTATTATTTATATGATGATCAATGTGTAACACTATGCTAAACTACTGATTATTGAAAATAATGTGATCACGAACAAGTACCGAACGTGTGGCTTAAATGTAACAGTGCCTGGTTACAATACCATGGTTCCTGGATTCTAATTCTGGAGGGATCAAACATTTGTTCATTATTACACATTTTTGTCATACGGTCTGGCTGCTCCAATTTTTTACCTTATCTCTGATACAGTATACTTGTCGAGACTAGGAAGTCCACTCGCGATCTTATTGCATTAACGTTACATCGTGCAAGTAAGTGTGATGTGAATGCATCTGTGTTAGCGCTACACTTAAAGCGCTTATTATAGCGTACGCAGTTCATGTTGTAGCCTACGGAATTTTAAAAGCTGCGTAAAACGTGCTATTATGACTTCTGTATGTCACAAATTTATTTTCGCCTTGCAGAACCTTTCTTCGATTTTATACATTTCTCTCAGGAAAACAGCTACAATGTGAGAGCTTTGTATTTACCCAAACCAATGCCAATAAAGCTTCTAGATATTTTAAAGTAACATCTTTGATCCAGATTCAGGATGATGATGAAATATTACTTAAATTTAGTTATTTTGAAGATTTTTTTAAATAGTAAGATTTATTGCTAGTAAGTGGTATATTATAGAACATCATAGTTTTAAAATTCCTATCTAATAATAAATAATAATAAGTCGAAACTTTTTATCCCTATTTATATGTATGAAAACTACAAATAAAAATACTCAATTTTGATATTTTGTTATATTAACATTAAAAATTAGGAGAATATACATACTTTCGAAGCATAAAACTATATTTTCCCAAATTTTCAATGTGAATGAATGTTTTTTCCTTTGACCGTAAGAACAATAAAAAGTAAAAAAAAATAAACTAGATTACAAGGACTAACATTATTAAAACTACTTTTACGGATTTTATCGCGTTTATTTTTACTTTTTATTTACTTTTATTTTTAATTCCCGACGTTTCGGGCGCTTTCAGCACCCATGGTCACGGGGGACCGAGATGACTGACGTCCCGATGTCATTGTTAAACCCGGAGTACCTTCAGTTTTTTAAATTATTGTTTATGGTCCGATCTATGCAAAATGAACTGACTATGTCCTGAGGTCTTGCAGTGGTATGCTTGGGTTTAGTTTTAATTTTATTGATTATAGGATCCCAAGCAGGTGGTAGTACCCAGCCTCCTTCTCTATTGAAATTAGGATGTTTTTTAATTTCAATAGCCTCACGTATCATCCTTGGTAGGAATCGGTGTTCTTTCGCGAGGATTTGTGGTCTATCAAATCTGATGTAATGGTTGGGTCCGTCTAGGATATGATCACAAACTGCAGACTTAAAAGTAAATAAAAAGTAAAAATAAACGCGATAAAATCCGTAAAAGTAGTTTTAATCATGTATAGTGTTCGCGTAAATATAATAAATCATTAGGACTAACATTCTTCAGAATAATCTTACATTGTTGTTTTTAACGTTAAGACCCCATACGATTATTAGTAGGTCTACACACTAGTTCATTACATGAATTCAACTCGCGACCCCGCAGCGCCGCCGCCAAACGCTTAGCCACTACGCTAATGAGCCATCACTAAACTAAACTTCATGCAGTACTAATAAAATCATTTCATACGGGACCATACTGAGACTATTTAAACCATTTAGTTGCGTGCTATCTCCACATCCTACGTTTTAATCACATAACTTAAAATCAACGTACGGACAAACAAGAATTATAGATAAATCACGGCACGCGGACACGAAAAAACATTTTTAAGAGTAAAAATTCTACGACGGACAACATATGCGGCGCGGTGATCATAAAAAATAACTAGTACGGAGTAATCATGATGTTCGGCCATGAGCATCGAACCAGGAAGGAAGAATATCGCGCCGTTATGTCTAGCAATTAAACAATCATATTTATAAAGTTTTTCTTACATTTGTCACATCTGCCGCATCCGGAATGTCGGTGACGTCAGTCTTTCTGAAATATAAAACAATTAAATTCGTTAATAAATATTCATTTTATTTATTCCACGCTGCAACTATATTATAATTGTAGCAAGATGGGTCGGCTCGACCGGTGTCTAGTGTATAGCTCTATGCTGTTGTGATTCGTATGGTGAGTGTAGAGAATCAGATACCCTTTTCACTTGAAATGAGGTATTTCATATTAGTCCTCAAGGGTGACAAAGCATTTGCAGAATGCAACACCCCCGAGGTTCAAGACGAAATACCAAGTTACTAATAAAAAGGTTCTGACAATCGTCTTTTACCTTGCCTTGTTTTTCAAAATTGCATTACGTTTGCATGGTGTTAAGTGGTTGACGAGCGAAGTATTCACATTAAGTTGCATGCTCACTCTACCGATGTGAGAACCGTAACAAAATTATTCTAATATGTAGACTGCTCCGCCAAGAGAGCAATTTTACTCTCTTCGTATTGCTACGAAGTCTTTAAACGGAAATGTATTACAATTTAAATATAAAATTTTTATTATTATTAAAATAACTATTGTCTTAACGATACGTAAGCAAATTGAGTGAATTACTTAACGATAAATACAACACAACTATTAATATTTATTATAAATATATATCGTATAATAATACCACCAGTGTACGAGCAAATACACTTGTTCAAGCCCCTTACCGATGTACCGCTTATGTGATAAAGGCGATTATTTACTAAGGCAGGTAGGCTAAATAGAACGTCATAACAAAGGGAATATATTATAATTAGGTTCTTATATTAAGTAGAGATTGCTTCTGAAATACTTCTACTCTGGAGAAAAACCAGCTCATATATGTGTATTGTAAAGGTATTAAATAAATAAATAAGAAAGCCAGTGCGGTATTTTTTAAAATACAATAAGATGGTATATAATTCACTGTACAAGCATTTTTAAATACATCTTCGAAGCGATCATTTTATTCCCTGATTTTATAACCATCCATAAATTAATATATTAATATTTAATATTTGTAACTGATTACTGACTGTGGAGTCGAGCCACTATTACTATATATTTGTTGATAGTATTGACAGACTGCATTTTACCTATTTTTAGACTATTACTATTTTTGTGTAAGATATAATCTCACTTTATAAATTCATGATTGCTAATGCATCTGTTAGTGATCGCGTAACATCTGAACGACGTGATCGAAGTTATAATATTAACACTATATGCTATGACAGCCACTAACACAATATACTAATGGCAGCACTCGTCAATAAAAGTTTGTGAATGTAGTTGTGATCCTTTTGACTGTTAGGCACCAACATTTCGACCATTTTTGACGCGTAGTTGTTATTTGACAATCGTTTGCGTAAGTCGATGTGAGTGTTTTTGTGAAGATGGAAAAAATTAAGTATCGAGCTGTCATTAAATTGTTGATTTTGAAAGGCAATAAATAAGCCTACGCAAATCAAAGATGAGTTTGACTCTGTATTTCGGGACTCTGCACAGCATCACATATCACAATGAAATTTTGGGCAGCTGAATTTAAACGTGGCCGTGAGAGCTTGGGAGACGATGAACGTTCGGGACGTCCAAAAACTGCAACTACTGACGATAACATCGATAACGTTCACCAAATGATGCTAGACGACCGCCGAATTAAAATGAGAAAGATAGCGAGACTAAGAAAACGTGAAAAGAACGTATTTCATAACTTTTTCATCATTACAGTCCTTTACATAGTGCACTGCTGAACATAGGCCTCCCTCAAGGAATGCTAATTAATTTTAATTCAAATTTCCCGAACGACGCCCAGCCGAGTTGAATCCGTCGATTGACCTTTCGGTCGAAATTGGACTTACCTAGCCCCAGGTAAACGTACTCGCCAACAACTTCGAGCATAGTGCTCCCAACAACTACCGGCATAGGTGTGACATGAACATTAAACATGATATTTATTTTGTCCATGTTCATCTTAAGACACCTATCCGTTGGGAGACACTATTGAGGTGAACACAGTGCTTAGGTCCTCCAGCGATTCTGCCATAAGGACTATATCGTCGACAAATCGAAGGTGAGTGATGTAATCGCCATTGATGTTAATACCGTATCCTTTCCAGTAACTTGAAAACGTCTTCCAATGCAGCGGTGAAGAGTTTCGGGGATATAACGTCACCCTGTCTTTTACACCTCTCTGCAGTTGAATAGGTTTCGTACTCGGTTCTAGTACTCGCATAGCCACCGTAACCCTACTGTACAAGCACATCAGCACCTCGATATACCCACAGTCCACTTGGCACCGCTGAAGAGACTGTAGCACAAATTTCGACGGAATCAAAGGCTTTCTCATAGTCCACATACGCAAGCAGATTGTACTCTTCGGTCTTCTGTACAATCTGCCGCAGGGTATGTACGTGGTATATGGTACTGAAACCTTTTCGGAAACTGGCTTGTTCGGAAGGCTGGACGTCGTCGAGTCTTGTGCGAGACAATGCGTAATGACCCTCAAAAACAGCACGTCGACGCTGTCAGAAGGGAAATCGGTTTGTAGTTCATCAAGAGGGCGTTATCATCTTTCTTGAAGAACAAGACTACCGCACCTCTGCTCCACGCCTCCGGAGTAATGCCACCATGGAGGACGGAATTAAAGAGCTTCTGAATGACTTCAAGTACCGGTTTTCCACCCGCTTTCAGAAGCTCCGCTGTAATTCCATCCGAGCCTTGCCGTTTTTAAGGTGCTGGAGAGCCATTATAATCTCTCTCAGACTGACGTCCGGGATATCATCGGAATAGTGTCGGATAAGACTTGGAAACAACGTGTGAAGAAAGAACGTGTTTATTACATATTAAATCAGTTTTAGACATGAGAAAGCTGTCGGAGCGTTGGGAGCGTTTGCTCACGTTAGACCAAAAACGTGTTCGAATGAACATTTCCCAACACTCTGTTGGCGCAGTTTAGGCGCAATAAATCCGAGTTTTAGCGCCGATTAATTACTGTAGATGAAATTTGAATACACTATTATACAGTGGACTGCAAAGGGGAAACCGGCTCCAAAAAAAGCAAAAACTATTTTTTCGGCGTGGAAAGTGATGGCGACTATTTTTTGGGATAGTCAAGGAGTTATCTTAATCGTAACATAATCTTCAAAAAGGAAAAACCATTACAGGAGCATACTACGCATCGTTACTTGATAAACTGAAGGCAGAAATTGCGAAAAAACAGCCATATTTGCAGAAAAAGAAAATCCTGTTTCATTACAACGCGCCGTCTTGCACCTCAGCGGTTGCCATGGTGCAAATCTGCGGATTGCTGTTTGAACTGCTTGAACAATCCGCCTTACTCACCAGATCATGCCCCAAGCGTTCGTTTTGTTCCCTCATATAAAAATTGTGCTCGGAGGACAGAGATTTTCATCAAATGAATTAGTAAACAATTATTTTGCAGAGAATAACGTCTAGTACTATTGGAACGGGTTAAAGAGATAGCAGCAACGCTGTGTGTACATTTACAGGGAGACTATGTAGAAAAATAAAAATTAATTTTAAGAAAAAATGTCTTAGAACTTTGTTAGGTCGGAAACTTTCAGACCACAAACGTATTTGTGGGTTTACTGCTAAAAAAGGAAGTCACAAAATCTGGACCCAAAAGGTGTTCTAGTTCTTTTTTATAAAATTTTAATTAACACAAAGAAAGCCCGGCCGTTTATAATATATATAGATTTTATATATTATAAGCAGCCGGATATATATAGTACTGTGTACTGGCAGTGAAAGGATATCCACTAGAGGTGGGCCGAATATTCGTTTTATATTCGGTATTCGGCATATTCGGCAGGTTTACCGAATATTCGTATTCAGCCGAATATTCGGCTAAATCACCGAATATTCGTTAAAGTGGTACCCAAAGTATCCACTGTATGGAAATGTACGAATTGAGTAATGCCATGTCTTTCATCATTTTACTGTTGAAAGTACACCTATTTATTTATGGGTTAAATCTACTTGTATAACGATATGTTTTTGAGGCACTGTAGACTTATTTCCAATTATAGCAAATAGAAAGCTTTATAAAATTTTGTTTGGAATCGTCAATAACAATCAATAACATGTCAGGTGTGGCGGGGGAGCGAGGGGAAGGCTCTGGCGGTAATCCCGCGCGCTTTACGGTAACAAGTTTCGACATAAATAGGTTAGGTGCCGAGGTTATCCTGCCGAATAATGTTCGGCCGAATATTCGGTACGGTAAAATTTTTACCGAACGTTCGGCCGAATATTCGTATTCGTTGAAATCCATATTCGGCCCATCCCTAATATCCACTACACCATATCATCCCGTAGGTGTCGTAAGAGGCGACATAGGGAGACATATCAGATGGGCAGCAGTGTCTTCCTAATAACGAATAAAAATAAAATACTGTGGCTGCCAAACCGCTTGCCAAGCGTGGCAACTATGGCAAATATCCCCCATATGAGGCAATGTAAAGGGAAAAGTCTATGTTCATCAGTGGACTTTAATAGGCTGTAACGGATGCAACGGAAAAAGAACGAAGTGAATTCTGAGAGAAACGCACCACGCCTCCAACCGACAGAATAACGACTGCCGGGCCAGCTAGTACACACAATATGTAATCTTTTCACAACCAGTCTTCAAAACCAACAATTTGTTTATGCATCAAAGTTGGCTTCGGTTTGAAATCGAACACAGGGTAGGTCCCTGTGTACATAGAATTTGAGTACTCTTAATCACTCAGTCGTGATCTATTAAAGCCATATTATTTAGGCCATAGGCATTTATGGGAATGAACTACATATTTTTGAAGTTATGTTTTCAATTGTTTGTTGTTTATATTCATAAATCAATTGCATAAAATATAAGTAAAAAAATTATATTCGGAAACCTGAAAATATTTTGAAAAACTTTAATCACCTGATTAGGGTCGAGTCCAGCATGCCTTCGGGATTCATCTGTTGCGAGTATTTGGATGCTGGCTGATATGGCGACGGAGACACGTCATTTTCTTGCTCCATCCTGAAAAGAAATCGCCACGTACGTCTATAAAGGATACATAAATAATACAATAAAAATAATACTACTTATATTTTTTTAAACTTACAATTTCTGTGGCCTCAATTCGGAGGAACAGAGATTTCGAAGATAGTCGTCGCATTCACGTTGCTTCTGTATTTGATACTCCTTTAACAACTCTCGTCGAAAATCACCATCGCCAGTTTGAACTATTGCAGCTTCCGTTTGCTGTGGGGCACGTTCCGCAAGAGACGAACGTTCCGTAGATGCAGCTGTAGTTGATATCGAAGTAGAGACTGAATAATCCTGCCCCCTATTCTCAGGAGTGGTAGCATTTGATGCACCAATACTGCCGGTATTCGGTTTCAATTGCTCATCAATTGGCTTCAACGATTCATTCAAACCGTTGTAAATACTCTCTCCGTTTTTATTATCAAAGAGCCTGTCGACAGACGTATTCATGAGCTTACTTCCTTTTATACCTGTAAGATGAAATCCAGCAAAACATGACGAAGAAGGGCCGTAGTCTATAGCCGATAAAGCCATCACAGCTGGATGTCGTGGAGCACCATCGGGTAAAGGTCGCAATGACCTTGTCATTGCATCGGCAGCGGAACGAGGTCTCCTAAAAGGCATAGCCAAATGTGGGAACGTGCGTGGTTTGATTGGCGTTACAAGCATATGTTCAGTCCACGAAGTGTGTAAAGAAGGTCGATCTAATTTTTCTACATCGACATTCAACATTCTTTGTTCGAATGGTACACTAAATGTTTCAGCTGGAATTGACTGTAACCAAGAAAGTAAACTTAAGTCGGATTCGTCAAAGCCCGAGCCATCGAGCAGTCGCGAAAAATTTACTTCATTTGACTGAGCTTCTTTCGATCCCGTGGCTTTAGCTTGACAATAATTCACACATGATTCATATAAAATACCTTTAATAAGTAACTGCATTAAGCGATCGTTTTTAGCGCACTTAGAAATGGTGCCACTGGATTTTTTGTCACAGGGTAAAAACTGTTCCACTAAAGGATACACCTCACGGAAGCATTGCACTCGAGCATTACTTGGATTCCATTTCTTAAATTGAGCATGATCTGTTATACTGGGCAAAGTAAGCAGTAAACACAGGTTCGAGTATTCTTCTTTAGAGGGTGCTAGCTTTTCCAAGTCATTAAGTACTTTCACCACCTCGTCCACAATGTTCTCAACGTTGTTGTAAGCTTTAATTTCGGCTCTAATGCAAAGCAGTTCTATATACTTGTGCCTGAGTATCGCATAGTTAAATTTATCTGCTTCAAAAGCTTTGAGTGCACTCAATGGTTGGATAAATTCGAGGACGTCATCCCACTGTCCGTCTAGGATGAGTTGCCGTAAAAAAAGCACGTCGTCGGCGTAATTTCCATTGATGACACCAGTTTCACGCTCAAGAGACAATTGCGTGATGTGCAAGTCGCGATTGTGGAGAAACTCGAGTGCCAGACGAACGACGTCGTCTTCGCGCAAATTCAAATGTGTTGATGGCATTCTGATTCTTGCTTATGTTCAATCTAAAACAAGCAGTTGATTTTTTAATGCAACATTAACCAATGTAGATATTAAGTTTAAATGGAGTTGATAACAATTTTGCAGAGACGGGAAGGTATTCAGAAAATAATTCTGTAACAGTAAGCTAATGCAACTTTTGTGCAGGTTTAAAAATCGTAGGAATCGGTTAATAAGTAGCAGCAATATCACTTTGTAAAGGTGACAGACATTCCATCAGATCTGCTAATTTGTTTTTTATAGGATAGGGTGACAAACGAGCACACAATGCACCTGATGGTAAGTGGTTGCTGCGGCCCACATACATCTACACCTATCCTCGATTACAAATCAAAATGCAGATGCGTTGTCACCCGTGAGGACTAAGATGGAATGCCTCGTTTCCAGTAAAAAGGGTCTCCGGTTCTCTACACTCACCATACGAAACACAGCAGCATTAAGCTACTATTTTACGCTGGTATTCTGTGAGAGCGTGGTCCTTCCCCGGTCGAGCCGACAAATTCGTGCTACAACTATACTACTAATATAACTGCAGCATGGCTCTACCGCGTATAAAAGTTCAGCGCAGTTACTTACAGTATAACAGATAAAATTATATTTTGATCTCAAATACACAGTTTTTTAATGGAATATGGGTGACAAACGAGTACACAGTCCACCTGATGGCAATAGACATCTACATTTATCCTCGCTTAAGAAACAAAATGCAGATGCGTTCTTACCCTGAGGTATTAAGATGGAATGCCTCATTTCCAGTAAATTAATCTCCTGTTCTTTACGCTCACTATACGAAACACGGCAGCTTTAAGCTTATGCTATTATACGCTGATATTCTGTGAAAGAGTAGTCCTACCCCGTTCGAGCCGATCCATTCGTTCTGGAACTAACATAGCTGCAGCGGAGCTCTACCAAGTTAATTAATTAAATTATTTATTATTAATATTCAATTAGTTAATTAATTAGTGATCAATCAGTTAACTGTTAATATATTAAGAAAATTAGCGAGTAATCAGTTAATTGTATTTAACACATAGATTTGGTGTAAACTGACGCTAGAAAACATAGCTGTTTAATAATGAATTACAATTAAATGCCACTGAAGAGGAAAGCTTTACAGTAGATACATCTAGACACATTGCAGAGTCTAAACTAAGTTTGGAAAGAGAAAATCAATATAACCACGAACCAATTTGAGCTACTTTTGACCGCATTATTCACTAACTGGTTTTTTTTTATAGAAGGGGGGGCAAACGAGCATACGGCTCACCTGATTTTAAGTGACTACCGCCACCCATGAACAACTGCAACACCAGGGTAATCCCAAGTGCGTTACCTGCCTTTTAGAAAGGAGTAAGCTCTTATCTAAGTCGTATCGGTCCGGAAAAATCGCCAGTGGCAAACTATTTCACACAGAAGTCGTACGCGGGAGAAAACTCCTCGTAAAACGAACAGTGGTGGACCGCCAAGCATCTAGATGGTGTGGATGGTATCGGGAGTTTTGCCGCGATGTGCGTTCATGAAATTTGGCAGCTGAGATTAATCTGAACAATTTCTCAGAACACTCTCCGTGGTAGATGCTAAAGAAAACGCAAAGGGATGTATTATTTCTTCGCAGCGCCAGTTAATTAAGCCGATCAAAAAGCTCTCGGTCTTCGATGATACGAGCCGTTCTGTGCTTAATGCAGTCAAGTGGAAGGAGCTGACACTTTTTTTTAATTTATTTATTCAAACAAATATAAGTACATTATTTTTACTGTTCTATCGCCAAACTATAATAATCAGTTTGTCGGTGAGTACACGCTCTTAAAACTATATATCATTATGCACCATCACCTACAAAAACACAATTAATTACAAAAAAAAAAGAAAAAGAAAATATAACCTTACCTTACTACAATTTCACAATATTTAGAAATTATTAAACTAAAAAACGATTAACAAAAGTATGCAACAATGTATGTGTTATAGCTCTGTTAATAATGTCCTTTTCAGAGAGAATTTTAATAAGTTTTTGCTTAATTTATTTTTATTTGGAGGAGTTTCTCTTAAACATTTTATTTTGTTATAAATTCTGGGTACAATGTATTTATTCAAGCGCTGTCCATAATAGTTATTTGCACTAGGCTCTTCAAGTTTTTTTCCCTTACCTTACGCGTGTCGTAGGTGTTAATAATAGGTACTTTATAGTCGTCAGTATAGTAATGTTCAATTGCTATTAAATATTTTAACCGTGTTCCAACAGAGAGTATTTTACACATGGGAAATAATTTTTCATATTGTTTTTTACAGTTTTTCTTATCTTTTGAATTAATTAAAAATTTTATAATACGTATTTGTAGGCTTTTCACTTGTTTTATATAAGTACTAAATGTACGGCCGTACACAATAAGACCATAGTTAATTAAAGATTCAATTAATGCATAGTAAACCAATATAACCGAAACTGGGCCTTGTAAAGTTGCAGGCGGTGTGCCGACATGAAATACTGTCCCGCACTGCTGACCACGCCAAGCTTTTTGGATGACAATTCGGTCTGCTCTTTCAAGTGACCACGAAACTGCACGTCACTCGCTATATCGACGCCGAGGATTCCAATACTGACTGAGGCAGAAAGGAGAGTGCCTTGAAACTGAGGAGATACAACAAAGGGGTTCTTTTTAGCGGTAAACGCGCAAACTTATGTTTTCTTAGGATTAAACTGTACTAGATTTAGTCGCCCCCAATCCGAGACTTTGTTTAGCAAAGACTAGACTTCAGACACAAGTTTGTCCCGGTGCTCGGCGAGGTTTTCCCGAGAAATATTGGCACGGCCGGTGTATAGAGCATCATCAGTGCTGTCATCAGCATAGTAATGAATGTTACCGGTTTGCAACATATCATTGATATGCAGAAGAAACAGCGTCAGTGATGGCGATGGCGTTCCACGAAGCCTTGTGGAACGCCAGCATTAACAGGCTTGTAATCGGAGCATGCACCGCCTACAACGACTGTGATGTTCCGATCTGCAAGAAATCTGGTGATCCAATTGCAAAATTTCTTGGGAAGCCCATAGGAAGGGAGCTTCTAAAGAAGCGCTTTGTGTCAAATCCGATCGAAGGCCTTCGCAATGCCCAAACTAACGGCTAATGACTCTACTGCCTCCGCCCATTTATGAATCAGGTATAACAGATGATCACCTGCTGATCGACCCCGACGAAAACCGTATTGGCGGTTGCTAATCAGCTAGTGATCCTCAAGGTATCGCATAAGCTGGCAGTTTATAATGGATTCCATTATTTTGGAGAACAATATTAGACACAGTGGCGAAGCTTCCATTAAAGCCGAAAAGCCGGGCTTGCCTTATTAAACCTGAATCAATCAATAATATCAATCAATAATATCAACTAATAAAATAACTCGTAAAATGTTTCAAGCTATTTCAAATTTCCCGCGCACTCCACTGTTCGACACATGTCGACCGATGACCTCGTATTGCCTTAGCGATACTGCTGCTGTTATAAAAAATGAGTTTTAATAGAGGTAATAGTTGTCTCCCTCGCTCACGTGGGCTTTTTACGGGGCTTTCGAGAAGACGTTCGCTCTCTTTATAACCTATGGCAAAATATTCTATAATTAAATATAACTACGATTGTATATATAGCAATTAGTATAGAGATTTAAAGCCAGGCTTTTGGGAATAAATTTGTAAAAAGCGGAGGCGCGCGGGCAATACGTTTGCAAGTTCATTTCACGTTTCAATGTTTATTTACTCTGTGTGCTTATCTTAAGCGATTTAATATTACGAGTTCAAAATTTATGCTTTTTTAAAGATTTTTAATGAAAATGGAGGATAATAGTGTTCCTTGTGATGAATTGAAGTGTGTTAAAGTGATAATCGGAGAGGAAATCTTTAAACTTTGTTGAGATAATACACAAGGTTAAGAGTGTATTTCAGACTTAATATCAATTATCGCAATTAAAAACAGTTATTGGTACAATTAAAACGTTCACCAACATTTTACGTGGACGTAATTAAATCTTTCCATAAGAAAGCGAGACGATTCCACTTATCTTATCTTATCTCTTATCCTTTCGAATGTAAATAATTTGTTTTTTTTTTTAATTTTGTACATAGTTTGTTTGTACTTTGTTCGTGTTTTACTTTTGTTCATGTATTGTATTGGATGTAAATATTTTTTTTCTTTCGCTTAAACAAACCCAAACGGCTTTCTTCAAAGCCACCGAAGCTATGCAATTGCTGATATGTAATACAATCTATCTAGCAGTGGTATGCCTTCTGTGTGTTTTGTTAAACACGTTCTTCCCAGGACAGAGGTTTTTTTTGCGGACCAGTGGTAAATGAAAAAAGCGACTTTCAATAAGTATTGTTATAATCTACATTGAATAAAAAAGTTTCTGTTTCTGTTTCTGTTTCTGTTTCTTGACAGCACTGAATATGAAACTCAAGCGTGGAGACAGATCAAGATTGGTGTATTTTTATAAAACTGCTAAACGCAACAATCTATATTTTTTATCAATTTATATCTTGGGCTTGCCCTAGCTTGGAGCTCTAGCTTCGCCACCGATTAGATATATTTGTAATTTTTATGTTTAATAAGGCTTTTTGAATACCTTTAATGCCATTTTAGGACTAATGGCCTTAAGCGAAATACCACTGACTGACTCATAACGATTTGTCTAAAACTACACACGCTATGACGCTATTGACTTGAAATTTTGTATAATTCCGCATTTCGCAAAAAACAGAACTAACGCTCACTAAAAACGGAATTTACGATAGTCCCATAAAAAAATTTCTTGATGTTTTATATGAACGTTATTATCTACCACATATTATCTACTACTACATCTATTATCGTGCGTCCAGCGGGTATCAGCTAGTAATTTAATAACTTTATGCTCACTTTTTTTTTCACTCACTTCAGAATTCTTTTCATTCACTCTAGAATCATCACAGCTCATGATCAATACGTGTTTTTTTT